AACAAATTAGTTAGCAAGTACTACTTTATGAACTAACGTTACCGCAAGAAAAAACTTTGATATTTGACGAGCTCAAAACACTAACACAAAACTATTGCTCGCTAGTCAAATATAATATATATTAATTATCGTCTTTATAGGGATTGAATTTAAACGGTGTTCGAATAATCTCCAGTTGATTACTATCCAAGAAAATTAACACTTGATTTTATGACTGTTACAACGATTAATTACTAAAAATTAAGCGAATAACAATTGATCACAAAAGACAACGGATTAGCAACAAAGAAATATCAATGAGAGGGATAAGGGTATTTGATTAGATAGGTGAAAGATAACTTACTCGGGGTTCATTTCTTGAGTTAATTCACTCTATAATACGGTTGATTCTCTCGAATTCAACCGATAATCAGATTGCACTTGAAGTTAGTGTTCCTCTTTCGATTAAACGTTAATTTAGTAATTAATTCAATTGAAGCACGGTAAATAATTGCAGCAATCAAATGATGGTTATGATCTAAAGGGTAACTTCTCACGAATATTTCTATATTTTCTAGTTCGATTAATAATTCGAGAGGCTCTTTCGATTACCTATTTGAATCACGAATTTAAACTAGAACATAAGATGTGAAGAAATTCAATATCAAACTCCTCTTCCGATTAAGCAAAATAATAAATAACTCACAATACCAATTAAAGCTCCATCAATTAATTCTAACAATTATCAAGAATCGAATCCCTAATCAAATTATCAAAATATCGGATTTGTCAACACCCAAATGAAAATTACTCCATAACAATGGAGTAATACATCTCAAATAAGTACGAATAAAGAAAACATCAATTCTAATGATTCGATACAAACTCTCGGGTTGCACCGATTGCAGGTTGTAATATTGATAAATTCTTGAGTCGTCTTGCCTTGGTTGGTTCTCCAATCTCCCGTAGGTCATATGTCCATTCAAAATTATATTTTTGGTGTATTTATACCATATAGAAACAAACCCGAACGAAACTATCCTTTCCTAGCCGAACTTGGAAACCACTCCGACGATTTTGCACAATCGCGCCGCCCTATACGGCATGCTAGTGAGGAAATTCAGAGAGCTTGCACTTTGCTTGTTAGACCACTTTTGCAATGCCGCGCGGCGCCTCGCGGCGCCCCATGCAACGCGTAGTGGTTTTTTCTCAACATAAATTTGTTTGTTCTCTTTTTGATATCCGGACTTGGTCCTCGACCCACGAACGTGATCCCTGCTTAATTTTTTGGGTTTCTACTCTGACTTTAAAGCTCCAACTTGTTCGATTTCGCTCCAAATTACCTAAATAGCTCAGAATCATTTCCTACAAGGCATAAAATACAAAATAACTATAATTCACTATCATTTAAACTCAAACACCCAAAAATACAGCAATTGAAATACAATACTATGACTAAAACACGGGTTTCTAACCTATCATCAACATTGCAGTTTGCAATTTTTTTTTTCATTGCACGAAATTGATAATTTCTTGGAGAAACTAAGACATAGATTTCAGGTTTTTAACTAACGAATGTATTTGAACACAATAAATTAACCAATGACCGATCCATAGGGGGTTCCATAGGTTCGGCAAAACTCATGACTTTAACTCGAACTCTATGTATATAGGTAAAAATAAATATAAATAAGATTAAAAATTAAATACCTTTGAAAACTGATGCACACACAACTCGTACGTGGAAACTAGACGTGGTCAACAAATACCAAACCACTACTTAGATTTTTGTTGACAGGAGATATGACGATGGAGACGAACAAAAGGCACAATAAGTTTGATTCCTTCACCCCCACCGTTTAATTGTGGATGCTAGGCTCACTCTGTCCCTCTTCTCCTTTAACTAAAATAAAATAATTCTATATTACAGTTAAACTTTTTTATAATAAATTTATTTGTTTAAATATATTTTAGTTGCTATAGTGAAGTGTTGTTATAGATGATATATATTTTGAAATTTGACTTTTATAGTGAATGATTGTTATACAAGAATGATGTTATAAGATAAGTCTGACCTATATATACTCATATTACTATATATTGTGTTTAATATATCCCTTTAGAACCTCTTCCTAAGTCCTACCCCCATATGATTCACCAGCTATACATAATAGTCCGTGCCTCGGTGGGTGTTTGACCAAAACTGTAATTGATGATAACTAGGCGTTATATATAACATTAGAAAAACACAACGAAACTATCCTCTTTCAAATTCTTGTTTTCTTTTTTCCTCTTTGCACGAGTATAACTTTGTTAATTAATGATAAAGTTTAAAAGTTTGGACGTGTGCTTCATGGTCATCCTATATTTAATTAATTACTAGTCTACTACTCCTTAGGTTGCAAATTGTATGGAAACGTGTTGGGTTAATCACCAGTTTTAGATTACTGTATGGGCTGTAACATAATCGGAAGCCAACGAAAGGGATTCACTTTAGCTACTAACTTCTTTTGCATGGATCGCCATTCATTTTCATTTTTATAGAATTTAGTAGAAAAGTTTTAAGGTTTTATGCACTGACTTTATAGAAATTAATTTTTTTTATTATCAAGATAAATTTATTTGTAATAATAAAGAATATTATATCAAGTTTTATATGAATACATAAAGTATAAGTGAATAATCTTTTATTACCGATTAAATCATCCTGATAGTATAAAGTTATTTGCTATATGTCAGTATATATAACTTTAATCTTATTCTTCACAATGAAGTGTCAAGTATAAGCAAAGTAACACATCCCGGAAGGTCAATAGCCTCAAAAGTAGCTCATCAATAAAGTTGTAGGAATGTTCATAACAAACTAGTAGTCGGTTTTAATTGCTATTCCCGTGATCTGATCCTTTTCAAGTGATTTTTTAGTATTTTAAATTTAATTCAAAACAAGTGATTTTTTAAGAATTCAAGAAGATATTAATTTTTTTCCCAGAATTATCCTTATCTAATAAATGGTTGAATAAGTTTTAAAGAAGTCTTTAATGAAAGATAAAAGATCTATTAGTACAATAACTCACTTATTTAATACTCCCTCTGTTCACTTTTACTTGACATGTTTTGACTTTTCACGCTCCATAAGAAATAATAAATGAGTGTATAATTTGTCATAATACTCATATTAATTGATGCATACTTTATTGGATTTGAGAAAATAATTTAAAATGAGTAATAAATATAGTAGTTATAACATGAAAAAAAAAATTGTTGATATGCGTAAAGTGACAAGTAAAAATAAAAATCTATTTTTAGTATACATGTCAAGTAAAAGTGAACGGATGGAATAATATTAAGTGACTTTCTTAAAAGGTGCGCAAAACCCTTTAAAACTTACTCCTTCCGTTCACTTTTACTTGTCCAATATTCTAAAAATAGATTTTCACTTTTATTTGTTTATTTTCGCATATTAAGAGAAAAATTATTTATTTTTTTTGTTTTGCCATTAGCATTAGTTACTCACTCCAAATTATTTTTCAAATCTATTAAGACTATACACTAATTAATATGAGTATCATGTTAAATTATGTATTTTATTTATTATTTCTTAAGGGACAGTCAAAGTCAATAATGAACGAATAAAAAGTGAACGGTTGAAGTACTTAAAAGGGACCGAAGACAGTAGTACTTAAGCATGTGATAAACCATCTTGATTACGCAAATAAACTGTACGTTTGGATAAAGCAATAGTAGAGTGACGCTGATCAGATGAATTTGGATGCAATGGATAAGGCAAACTATAATTAAAGAATTACAAGAGGCTTTTGCAAATCAACGCTTCCTGTAAATTTTATTTTATATTAATAAAATTAAACACTCTATTATCAGCTTCCTGATCCGATCCCCTTTTTCTCTTTTCCTTTTCCCTGCATGCATCTGCAGCTTGGCTTCATCCTGTACAGTGTACAACTATAATGTGTGTGTAAATATATACACATACACTGTTTTACCTGTATTAAATTAGGGTATAAATTTTATACTTTTGCACAATCAAATTGTTTAGTAGGCAATGATAACTACAAGTAATTAGTTTTAATAAATTGTAGCACGTAACCTGTTACAGATTTTGTTTATAGTATCGTTAATGTATGTGAGCTAAATCTGTTTATTTATTGGATTAATTAAGCTATATATATAGGTTTTTCTATATCGACAATTACTTCTACTACTTTTAAAATTCTCAACGTGATGATTATATATGTAGAAAATCTTTACATGGCACCCATAAAAATTAATGAAGCACAAATTCAATATACATTAAAAACGAGCAATACAATAATGCCCTGAGATACAACTCCATTAGTCTAATGGTATTATATGCATGACCGCACACGCAAACATATTAGATTTTCTTTGATACCCTCCATTTCAATTATTATGTGATTTTTTTTTCAATATATTCCAAACACTAATTTCTTTTTAAATTTGGGAACAATATTTAACTTAAATGTTTCAGTTTACCTTTAATAAGAATCTTTTATATTATAATATTTTAAAATCATAAGTTTTTAAAATTTTATTGCCACACCAATATTATGATATGTTAATAACCACAAGGTTTAAAAGCTTTCTTATTTTTTTAAATTCCATTCAAATATTATAAGATTATAAGTTCACATAGATTAAAACTTAAGAGAAAAAGTACTATATATCAGTATGAGGAAAACTAGTCTGAAATGTTCTACCCTTTCCACAAAACACCTTCACCTGTTACAAACCTCCCAAACTAGCTACTTTATTTAGAATACTAGCTACCATCCCGTGGTTTTAACCTAAAAAGTGGCATTACTATTTTGGTCAACTGAAGAAACGTCATTCTTTCCTACTCTTAGACCCACAACATGCTCATCACAAACAAAACACCAAATCAAACCATTCCTTTTCTTTTTTCTTTAATCTTCTTTCTTAGCACCTTCCCAGATATTCATATACCCTCAACAGTCTCATATATATATATATAGAGACATAATTCTATTGTCAAACTCACATTCAAAACGCAGGATAAAACAACTCTCTTCCCGCTTTCTTTACAATCTTATAATCAAATGGGATCCTCTAACCCTATGATCACTACCTTTCTCTTTATACTATTCTCGCTATTCGTTCTTGTTCCTAATCCTTGTTTAGCCAATTCAAGAATACTTGCACTAGTTAAAGAAAAACCCCTTGTCCTAAAATACCATAAAAGCGCTCTTTTAAAGGGAAATGTCACTGTTAATCTTATATGGTATGGAAAATTCACTCCTGCTCAACGTTCAATCATCGTCGACTTCATCCAATCCCTTAGCCCCAAGAACAAGAAAATCCAACCAACGCCTTCCGCCGCATCATGGTGGCGCACCACCGAAGCATACAAAGGTGGCCCTTCTGTTATTACAGTAGGAAAACAGATATTCGATGAAAAATATTCTATAGGAAAATTATTGAAAGACCCACAACTTGAAATTTTGGCATCTAAGGTAACTCGGGCCAACTCTATCGCCGTCGTGCTGACGGCGGCGGACGTGGCAGTGGAAGACTTTTGCATGAATAGATGTGGCATGCACGGGTCAACTCGTGGTAAGAAAAAAGGGAGTAAATTTGCGTACGCTTGGGTGGGTAACTCTGCGAGTCAATGTCCAGGTCAGTGCGCGTGGCCATTTCAAAAGCCGATTGTAGGGCCACAGACTACGCCGTTAGGTTCACCAAACGGAGACATCGGAGTTGACGGAATGGTAATCAGTTTAGCGACTGTTTTGGCGGGGACTGTTACGAATCCGTTTGATGGAGGGTATTTTCAGGGCCCAGCTAACGCGCCTTTAGAAGCTGTGTCTGCTTGCACGGGGATATTCGGTTCTGGTGCTTTTCCTGGATTTCCGGGTATGGTTTTGCTGGATAAAAAGACGGGTGCTAGCTATAATGCGCCTGGAGTGAATGGGCGTAAATATCTGCTTCCTGCTATGTGGGACCCAAAAACGTCGACGTGCACGACACTCGTGTGAGAAAGTAAAACAGACAGACATTTTAATATTACTTTGAAATTTCAACATTAATTTTTTTATTCGATTTGGAAATTGTGTATTTGTACAATAATCTCTCAATAAGTTGAACATTCTCTTTTTAGTTTGTTTTCAATTAATCTCATTTATTTTTATTTTTCAACAAAAACTATTTATAAACATAAAAATCCGTTATACTAGTAAAATTTATACATTAAACTCTATCTAGATGTGGTGGTTATGGTGCAAGTGCTCAAGTTCAATTGTCTTCAAATTAAAATTCCAATATACACTCTACAGCTCCCATGTTAGTGAACATTTTGCAGAACTGTGGGCCATCAGCCTTTTGAAATCTTAACTAAAATGGGTGTCAGAATCTGGAAAAATAAGTAATACTAGTAAATAGATAATCTGTGGGAAAAACAGAAGGAGAAAAAGAAACAAAAAAAAAAGCTTCAGAAAGTCAAAATGGAGAAAGATGTTCGAGCCCAAGTTAAACATGAAGAAGCTTTAATAAAATCAAAAACAGAAATGACTAAACCCAGGTTCGAACTGGGGACCTCTAGTGTGTGAGACTAGCGTGATTACCAACTACACCACCCAGACATTTGAATGGTGTTTGGCACAATTATATTTATACAAAACAATAGAATAAGAAAGAAATAGAAAACAAATATAAAAGAGATCGGTTATAATTCGTCTTTACGAGTGACTTGTAAATCCTATTGAAATATGATGGACCAAAAATTCCAATTTCTTTAAAAAACCAATGTTATTTGTATCTCATGGCACTTTACAATTTTGAATTTAAGAAAATGACCTTTTTAGATTTCTTATGTGTAAAAGATAGATCTCTTACGTATAAAAGTAAATTTTTCATGTGTAAAAAAAGAGGTAGGGTCATAAAACTGTGATGACCCAAAATGTCATCTTTAAATTTAATAATTAATTATGTGTTCTAAGACCTCGAAAAGTACTATTTATCGTTACTCGACTTGCGTGCGCAGTCCGTAAATTTTTCAGGTGAAAAATGGATTAAAATGTGAATTAGAGCTTTAAAACTCAACTGAGTTGACTTTGGTCAACATTTTGAGCAAACGGACTCAGATTAGTGTTTTGACAGTTCCGGTAGGTCTGTATCGTGATTTGAAACTTGGTCGTATGTCCGGAATCAAATTCCGAGATCCCTAGTCCGAGATATGAAATTTTGAAGAAAAATTAAAAGTTTAAATTCAAATAGTGACCAGATATCAAATTATATGCAAACGACCCCGGAATAGAGTTTTGATGATTCCAACAGCTCCGTATGGTGATTTTGAAATTAGGAGCGTGATCGAAATTTTATTTGGAAGTCCGTAGTAAAATTAGGGTTGAAATGGCTAATATAGGAATTTAAAGTTTGGAAGTTTGACCGGAGAGTTGACTTTTTGATATCGGGCTCAGAATCCAGTTTTAAAAATTTTCACAGCTCCGTTATGTTATTTATGACTTGGGTGCAAAATTTGAGGTCAATCGGACTTGATTTGATAGGTTTCGACATCGAATGTAGAAGTTGGAAATTCTAAGTTTCATTAAGCTTGAATTGGAGCATGATTCGTGATTTTAGTGTTGTTTGATGTGATTTGAGGTTTCAAATAAGTTCGTATGATGTTTTAGGACTTGTTGGTGTATTGGGTTGAGGTCTCGAGGGCCTCGGGTTAGTTTCGGATGGTTAACGGATCAAAAGTGGGACTTAGCTGCTGCAATTTTTCTGCTAAAAATGCTGTCAAAATCGGGCTGCCTGTCAAAATCGGACTCCCTGTCAAAATCGGGCTGCCTGTCAAAATCGGACTCCCTGACAAAATCAAGCTCCCTGACAAATCGAGCTCCCTGGCAAAATCGAGCTCCCTGGCAAAATCGAGCTCCCGGCAAATCGAGCTCCCTGACAAATCGAGCTCCCTGACAAAATCGAGCTCCCTGACAAATCGAGCTCCATGACAAATCGAGCTTTCTGATAAATCGAGCTTGATTTTGAATCGAGCTCTCTGACAAAATCGAGCTCCGTGACAAAATCGAGATACCTGACAAATCTGTAAGTTATAAAAACAGGGGACTTCGTCCCATTTGCCTTTTTGACGAATTGGAGTTTGAGGAGAGGCGATTTTGATATATTTTCAAGGAAAAACATTGGGGTAAGTGATTCTAACTCGGATTTGGTCACTATACACGAATATATCGTTGTTTTTACCATTTAATTAGTGTTTTGAAATAGAAATTTGAGAAACTTTTAGAAATCTCATATAAACGAATTTATGAGATTTCGGTGTCGATCCGGAGTCGGATTTGAGTGAAACTGGTATGGTTGGACTCGTAATTGAATGAGTTATCGGATTTTGTGAGTTTTGTCGGATTCCGAGATGTGGGCTCCACGGGTAATATTTTTATGAAATTGATTCCTATAATTTTTGTTGACTGTATCGAATTAATTATGACTATATACAAGTCGATCGGAATCAAAAAATCGGGAAAAAAGCATAATACTTGATTAAATTGGAGCAAGTCGAATATTAGGCTTTTTTTCTTTGTCTCCCATTAATTGGGAGGGAAAATTTTGCTTAAACGGGACACACATTATCATGACTAACATATATATAATCAGTGAAATCTTGTAGTTACTTTAGCATTCCAAATTAAATGCTAAGAACACTAACTTTTATTAAAAATACCTTTGAAAATAAACCAGAAAAAAATCTTGTGAAAAAATAAAAAAAGAAACAGAAAAAAGAAGTCGGCTTCTTATCCTCGGATTTGCTATTCCCTTACCTTTCTTTTCCTTCCTTTTCTTTTTCAATTCAACTCCTACCTCAATTCTTCTTCCTTCTTCCCTCACCTCACCTTCTCCCCTTCAGTAACAGTGGAAGAACATCTCATCTTCAGTACAAAAATATAATTCTTGTTGCTTTTGGACACTCTCCCGTATGAGGAATTACACCTTTTCGTTAAGCCTTTTACGTTGTAGAGAAATATGTGCCACTTGACCCTTCTCATTACAGACAACACCTTCAAAAGTATCATGAGATAATCTCTGTTTGTCTTATGTTAAAAATAAATTCATTTGAGAAAAAGAGTAGACAGAATTATGGAGATGACCCATTGTTATTGGTTACAAATACTACAGGCCTTTTGTTATATATGGTAAAAAAACCGTTTTGGAAATGAAAAGTCTCTCTTTTCATCTTCCTTTTACTTTAATGTGTTTCATCCTTAATTTTTAACGGATGTAACCCGACGGGACGTGTTTTTCTCATTAATTAGGTAGCATTTAGACACTTTTAGATTTTGAAAATAAGATAAATTAGAAAACAAAGATAAAAAGTCAAAAAATGAGAAAAAAGATAAATGGCTATNTATATATATATAGGAGCGGCAAAGAATATATATTTCTCTATATTTTATTATAACAATCACCTTATTTTTTAAAAATTAGATCTAACATCTTGAATAGCCTAGACAACATGTTTGGGGCATAAGGCATCACCGGTAAACATATTTGTTTTATTTAATATTAATATTTTGCGCAGTGTTGCTGTTAAGTTAATGTAATTAGAATTAATATTACCTAACAAATTACATTGATAAAAAATAGCGTGCAACACACGTTTATAGAGACTAGAGCAATTTTATAGACACTGTCTTAACATAATAACGCGAAAACGTATTTTAGATGACGTTATAAAATGACATATTTTTTAATATTTTAACCATTAGCGAGAGATAAGCGTGCAAAGTACGTACATAGATACTAGTATTATTATAAAAGCATGAATATAATATTGATTTACAAAAATAACCTTACAATATTAAGCATAATAACTCAAAATAAAAGGACATAACCGGATTTCTAGACATTAGCCTTCTAATACTATTAGTTTTAGGACATAATACTACACGTTAGGAATCCTACATGATTATCTTTTGGAATTCTATTACTATAAACTTTCGGGCATATACATATAATATGTTAGCATGTAAACATAAAACATCTAGGAATACGTTAGGTTTCCTATTAATATAATTACTTTCGGGATAGAAATATATTTTTAACCATATAATACTAATTGCTTTTTAGGATATATTTCTTAAAAATTCTTATTACTACTTTAATTTGAAAAGGTATTATATTGTCCTATTACTAATTTAATTTGGGAATGTATTACATTATCCAAATTCATTTTGAAAAGGTGAGCCTATATTATTATAAAAGCACGAATACAATATTGATAGATCAAAATAGCTCTAAAATATTAAACATAATAACACATTGGACATAACCGTATAAACCTATTTTTGGACTATAATACCTTTTTATGTTTTTTTTAATATTTAAGATTTTAAAATTAATAAAATTTTATCTATTAAATTCTTATTAAAAATATGTAGGAAGGTTTAATAAAATTAATTTCATAAGAATTCTCTATATTGGCAATACGTTACCACTCTATATTGTCCAATATCAAGAAAAAATAAAATTAATATTAAATAGATTGCATAAAGCGTTGAAATTGAGAAAAACAAATATTCCCACGATAAAATTGTAGACAATAAATTGCGTCGAGAAAATAAAATCAGGCCGAAAAATATTGCAACAATCGTAGTATTTTATTTCAAATATTTGAGTGTACAATCTCTATGAATCCTCCGATTCTTCTTTTCAATAATAAATAAATTCAAGGGCCTTTGAGCTTGATCTTGAACATATAGTTGTCGCCACGAACGATGATCTTGTTCTTGAGCTTTAGCTTGGTTGCTTGAACTTGACCTTGATTTGTTCTTTGTTTTTGAGCTTGAACTTGATTGCTTGGAGCTTGAAACTTGTGGAGGAATTTGCAGTGTTTGATCCACGAGCTCTCTCTTGCTTCTTGTTATAACTTACTGGTGTCTTTTCTGGGTTATGAAGACCCCTATTTATAGTTGTGGAAGGGAGGAGTTATGATAAGAACAAACTCTTTCTGACCAATCAAATTGAAGTGTGATGTGGCCGTATTTGATTGGCCAGAATATGTCACTTGCACATGTGGCGTGATTTCATTAGCCTTTTAATATGACTTGGCATGCCTTGTCATTTTGACACGTGGCATGATCCTATTGGCTCTTTCG